CACAGCTCACAGCAACCTCCAACTCCTGGGCTCAAGCGAGTCTCCTGCCTCAGCCTCCCAAGTAGCTGGGACTACAGGCGCCCGCCACAACGCCCAGCCATTTTTTTGGTTGCAGCCATCGTTGTTTGGCAGGCCCGGGCTGGGGATTCGAACCCACCACTTTAGGTGTATGTGGCTAGCGCCTTAGCCGCTTGAGCCACAGGCGCCGAGCCCACAATAATAATTTTTTAAAACGCTAAGATACAAAGGAGAGACAAAGAAGTTGCAGGGAATTTCTACCCACTGCCCCCATCCCAACCCCCACCCCCAGGTGCTTTCTCTCACACCTCACACATGCATACTCACAAAGCTTTAGGAAAGTGGTCTCATGCCAGAGGACTTGACAGGTAGCTTCCTCAGCGTTACACATCTTCACTCGCGTCTTCCCTCCAGGTCCCTCATAGGCGAGGAACGCACATGAATACACATGCACATATATACACAGGCCATTTTGTTTCTGCCTCCCTATCTTATAAATAAATAAACCAACCTGCTCTCATCTCTATAGAGTTCATACCTCTGGTGTGGTTGGCATCCCCTTCTACCTCAGGCTGAAGGACAAAGAGTAGAAGGGATAGTTTGTTTCTCCAGATGGGAAACAAGGCCCCCAGATTGGTTCTGTGTCCACTGTCAGGTTGGTAAGGATGCAGAGCCAGCTGCAGCTTGCAGCTCAGACCTTCGGGCTCAGTGCAGAGAGGCCCGAGTTGGAGGGTTGGGGCACTAAGTGACAGGATCTGGGAATAGGGGCAGTTACAGTCTATTGAGGCAGCATTATGGGGAAAATATCTCAGCAGGTGACAAGATAACCCGAATTGAGTCCTGACTCAGTTACTAACTAGTTTTGTGACTTGGCTCACATCCCTTAAGTCCTCTGAGCCTGTTTTCTTATCTGTAAAATTGGGGAGCAAAGTTACCCTGCCTCACTTACCTAGTTTGAGTATGGTGCAATTCAGATAAAGTATATGAAAGCATTTTGGAAAACACCAAGTGCTCAGAGGATTTTTAGAGCAGTGAAACTACTCTGTATGACATGATAATGGTGGGTACGTGTCATTATACATTTGCCCAAACCCATAGAATGTGCAAACCAACATTGCAGGTAACCAGGCTGGGCAACATAGGAAGACTCCATCTCTAAAAATTAGCCAGGTGTGGTGGCACATGCCTGTAGTCCCCAGAAGGCTAAGGCAGGAAGATCACTTGAGCCCAGGAGTTTGAGATTACTCTGAGCTATGATGATGCCGTTGCACTCCAGCCTGGGCCACAGAGCAAGAACCTGTCTCTAAAAACAAAAAGTAAAAAAGAGCGAATCATAATATAAACTATGGACATTGAACTTTGGGTGATAATGACATGTCTGGTGAGTTCGTCCATTGTAACAAATCTGTACCAGTCTGGTGAGGGATGTTGAGAGTGGGAAGCTATATGTGTTTAGGGGGTTGGGGGTGTTCCATCTACTCAGTGTTGCTATGAACATCAAACTGCTCTAAAAAATAAAGTCCTGGCTCGGCGCCTGTGGCTCAAGTGGCTAAGGTGCCAGCCACATACACCTAAGGTGGCAGGTTCGAATCCAGCCTGGACCCGCCAAACAACAATGATGGCTGCAACCAAAAAATAGCCAGGCGTTGTGGCGGGCACCTGTGGTCCCAGCTACTTGGGAGGCTGAGGCAGGAGACTCGCTTGAGCCCAGGAGTTGGAGGTTGCTGTGAGCTGTGATGCCAGGGCACTCTACCCAGGGGGATAGCTTGAGGCTCTGTCTCAATAAAAAAAAATAATAATAATAAAGTCCTGAAAAATCATTTTACCACAAAGACATTTGCACTAGAATGTTTATTGCAGCTCAATTCATAATTGTCTGGTTGTGGAAGCAACGCAAATGCTCATCAACCCATGAATGGAGCAGTATAGCTATACCATGGAGTACTATTCAGCCATAGGAAACGATGGCGACTTTACATCTTTTATGTTTACCTGGACAGAGTTGAAACACATTCTTCTTAGTAAAGTATCTCAAGAATGAAAAAAAGATCAAGTGTACTCAATACTAATATGAAATCAATATACAAACAGCTACACGCTCATAGGAACAATAAAATACAAATATAGTCTAGCAAGGGAGCAGGGAAAGGAGGGATGGGAGGGGAGGGCAATGGTGCACAATTCGAGGGTGTTCCGTACTCCCCCAGTGAGTGTGGGGCTCTTCCACAACTTGTAATTTACCTTGGAAGTAAGAACAACGTAATCTAAAGATTTGTACCTTCATATTCATTTGAAATAAAAAAAAAGCGCTGTATAAACATAAGTCACTGTTGAATTCAACGGAAGTTGTTTTTATTATGAAAAATGTCAGACTTGGGCAGCGCCCATAGCTCAGTGGGTAGGGCACAGGCCACATACGCCCAGGCTGGTGGGTTCAAACCCGGCCGCGGGCCAGCTAAACAACAGAGACAACTGCAACAAAAAAATAGCTGGACGTTGTGGTGAGTGCCTGTAGTCCCGGCTACTTGGGAGGCTGAGGCAAGAGAATTGCTTAAGCCCAAGAGTTTGAGGTTTCTGTGAGTTGTGACTCTATGGCACACTACCCAGGGCGGCATAGTGAGACTCTATCTCAAAAAAAGGAAAAGAAAAGAAAAAAGAAAAACGTCAGACTTATATACTGATGCAGAGAATAGCAAAAAAGCTGTATATTGTATGATTCAGCTTAAATGAAATATCCAGAAAAGGCATATTTGGGGAGACAGAAAGCAGACTAGTTGTTGACTAGGGCTAGGGCTGGGAGTGGGAGTAGGAATTGACTGCAGAGGGCCCAGGAAAA